GCTGGGCCAAATCAGGGACTCCCTTTCGTTTTAGCAAATGTTACTATATTCCTACTACGTGCCAGGGTTCCGCACAGGCCAGGCCAGCGGATACGAAGGCCAGGGCTATGAGCGCTGTGGGTTTCACGTGTTTTGTTCTCAGCGGAGTTTCTGGAATGGAGAAGCGTGCCTAGCACATAGTAGGTGCACAGCACACATCTGTTGGCTCACAGACGAGTTGAATGGACAAACTTTCCCAACAACCCTGGGCCACTGAAAAAGAAAACAAGATTCAGACAGAATCAATAAGGATTTGCTCAAAGTCGCAGAGCTAGAACGTGCCAAAGTGATCTCTGGGCCTTAAGTCCCTCCCCTCCATGAAACAGAGGGAAGCTAAAACCCAAACCCAGTGCCACTGGTCCATTCTGACTCATAGTGACTCCGCAGGACAGGGTAGAACCGGCTCTCATCTGTATGGGAGCAGTCAGACTGATCGCTTTCCTACAGGGGGCTGCTGGGATCAAACTACTGACCCTGCAGTTAGCAGCCTACGGGAACCGAAAACCAACCAAAACAAAACTCCGGCCCATCAAGTCCATTCCAACTCAGAGCAACCCTGCAGAACAGAGAGAAGAACTACGCCATGGATTTCAGAGATAGTTACGTCTTTAGAAGAGCAGACAGGCTCATCTTTCTCAGAGCGAGTGCTGGGTTCAAACGGGTAACCTTGCAGTTGGCTGCTGGAAGAGGGAAGGTGGGGGCTAAACGACGTGATCCCCGAAGCCCCTGTTCATCCCTTTCTCCCCTGAGTGCAGAACGCTCTGCATTGGTCCTGTTTTGCCTTCTTCCTGGGCTGGAGGGGAGAGCCCGTGGACAGGGGGTGGGGAGGCGGCGGTGAGCTGCTTTGGGGAGCGTGGCTGGTGAAGCTTGCGAGCGAACCCTGTGCTGACCGCGAACCTGTCCTTTCCCTGGTGAGCCTGACATGACCCTAGCTGCAGAGACCCCTAGCACCTAGCTGGGAGGGCAGGAGCCAGGGCACTTTCCTTGTGGGTCTCAGCGAGATGTGGCTAGAGAGATGGACAGGACCACACACCCAACTGCAGTTGGCCTCGGCCACTTTCTAGCTGTGAAACAACCATTTCAGGCAACTCAGGCACCCCGACAGGACTGTGGGTGAGCACAGGGCGAACCACAAGACGGGTGGTTCAAACCCACCAGCCGCTCCTCGGGAAAACGAGGAGGCTTTCTGCTCCCGTGAAGAGGTACAGTTCGGGAACCCGAAAGAGCAGGTAGACTCTGTCCTCTAGTGTCGAGATGGTCGGAACTGACCGACTGAGTGGCAGTGAGTTTGGCTTTGTGTTTCGGAGGGCCTCATTGCTGTGACCGGGGAGAAGCAGATGATAGTAAATCAGGGACAGATCACAACAAGGGAAAGGGCATGTCAATCACAGCAGCCCCCTGAGGTCCTTCTGTGTTTTGGAGCCCCTGGGGGCACCATGGGTAAGTGCTCCACCACTCACCTAAAGGCTGGTAGTCTGAACCCAGTCAGAGGCACCTCACAAGAAAGGCCTGGTGACCTAAAAGGTCAGAGCCTTGAAGCCCTTCTCTGCACCCGTGGCGGCGTCGTGAGTTGGAATCAACTCAGGACAACTGGTTTGGCTTTGGAACTACGTTCTGTGCTGGGCCCAAAGACTCGAGGATGGGGTCGACACACCTGGGGCGGCAGACTTTGAGAGGAAGATGGTGTGAGAGCTCTGCAGGGGGAAGGTGAGGTCCTCGCACTGAGTGGGGGACGAGGGGCTCGTGGGGAAGGCTTCCCAGAGGAACTGACAACTAAGCTGGGTTTGAACAACGAAGTCCTGGAGAACGGAGAAGTGGGAAGGACATGCAGAAACGAAAGGTGGGGACCTGCCTGTTCACGGAAGTGGATGGAGTTGGGTGCAGTGGGACAGGGTGTTCAAGGTGGCAGAGGATCAAGGGGGAACAGACTCGGGTGGGCTTATCAACATGAAGTGCTGGGCCCTGGGCTGTGCTGCTGATACGGTGCTCGGCACAGCACTCCCTCCTGCCCTGACAGTTACTCGTGAATGGGCCTCCCCTGGCAGCCAACGGGCTGCCTGCTGGCTTATAGGGAGGAAGCAGGAAGTCACTGGGAAATGCCACCACCCCACGAGCGCCAGGTGTGGCCAAGGCGGTGGGGGTGGCCCAAGCAGGAGAAGCTTCTGGGCTGGGCCGCCCAGCAAGAAGGTCCCCAGGGGTTGAACACTATCTGCCAAGCCCCATCGGTGCCAAAAGTGCCTACAGCGTTCACATGACACCTCCTGCCTGCAGCCCGTCTTGGTTCTCAGGTTCTCTGGCTCTTGGGGTGTCCCTGCTGCTGTGCAGTGCTGCTGGCTGCCTGGCTTCAGGGCCACCGAGCTCAAGGCAGCCATCCTGGAGGGGTCTGTAGCACGCCG